CATGATGGCACAAACAAGCTTTGGAGGCCTGTGAGCAGCCATGATGGAAGCAGAGGCAGGAAAGATAAAGTGGATGAACTTCCATCAAAAGATGATAATAATACTGTTATAGCCAGTAGGAATTGTGTGCGATCCTTCGATATGGGCAATTGCAACACGAACAGTTTGGGTAAGGTTTTGGAAGTTGATACACATGGAGAATGTTTGCGGTTCTCCAGTAGTGCTGTGAAAGAGTTTCTTGCACAGAGTAAGTTCTCATTTTCTCCTGATCTTTATTAATCTCAACTTTTCGGGGTTATTTAATGTTCTCTAATCTCTGTTTAGTGCCCATTTGGGCGTTTGGTTAACACCTCCCACTTATCAACATTATCAATCAAATTTTTTACTACGCTAACTCATTTGGATATGGTGAGTGGTGACTAATTGCTGATTATATCAAACAGTAGGGCATAATTTATTTTATTCAGTTTTTTTTTTGTGTTTTACTTTCTTCGTCCCTAAACAAGCTCGACCTTGCTTTTGCACATCTATTACGATTGTGTGGTTTATATTTAAAAAGGAAATAATAAATATCAGTTTCCTTCACTTGAAATGGACTGGAAGTTTTCTGGATACAGCTAAGAAAGAAACTTTGAAGTTTATCAAGGGACAAATGTATTTTTTTGTATATATGTCTGCCATTTGAGCTACCATTTCAACAACTTCAGCCGATTGAGTCACTTCAACATATAAAAGGGTAGCCCGTTGCACGAAGGCAGTGGTGGACACAAAGGACACAAAGTCTGTCATTTTTAACTAGATATAATTACTACAAAATTTTAATATATATGTATTAATATGTATATCATATAACTTACACTACCGCCCCTCCAGTCGGGAATTTATATGTCCGCCACTGCACGAAGGCATCTCTGCAAGGTGAGGGTCCAGGGAAGGGTCCCACCACCATGATGTATAAGGAGCAAATCTTCCTCTGACAAGAGGTCCCTCCCAAGACATGAACCTATCAAGCCATAACCTCTCACTCACACAGCAACGCCTTAATCGGTGTGCCAAGACTCCCCTTCAACCTACTCGGCTAAATTTAAGTTATACCAGATGGACTGTAATGCGTTTTTTTGGTGTTTTAGTTGCTGATTGATTTCAACCAATGTAGGATGGAAGGAGGCCATTGCAGCGGATCACGAGATATTAGTCCTCCCCCATGTCCCTGAATCTTTAGTGTGCCCCAATGCTCGATGTAGAAGTCCAAAAATTGGAGTGGTCAATCTCAACCGGAAGTCTACAACAAAACCAGACAATGGTATTCACGAGCACGTTTTAAGACCAAAAAACTGATATTTGGACAGCGGAGAAGAGTTTTGTTATTTTAGGAATAGCTGCTTATACACCCTTGTGGGGGATAGCTCTGTCCACCAGGTTGCCGTTTAGGAATAGCTTTGAAGTCAACTTTGAAAGTGGTCTTCTGATAGCAACTGAAAATATTCAAAAGTATTCTTTGTAGCAAACACATTTTTTAAAGAGGAATAACTTTGTAGTTCAGCCCGTCTGTATTATTTCCCTTTTTAGCATTTCTTTCATTCTGCGCAGCAAATTTAGCTGTAATAAGTTGTAATTTTCATAAATTACTAATAAGTTCTTTGACTTCTTGATTGGCCTTTGTGATGCCTCGTTATGTCCAGCTGCGTGATCCCTCCCCTTTTACTGCCAACATTATATGGGTTGTAACTTGTGTTATAATATGATAAAATTGTGGATGGATTTTTAAGTTTGTGTTTTTACGGGTTGGTTTCATATTTAACGATCATTAAATGATTGTTAACCAAACTGGCGTCTTAGTGGTTCCTAGACTCCTAGTATCGTTGGTCCAGTTGCAAACCTATGCTCCCGTTAGCGATGGACATATGGGCGATTGGGCTCCGACCTGGCTCAGTCCTAGTCCTGGTCAGTACTCAGTCCCAGTCCTGGTCAGTGGTAAGAGACGCCTGGCTCCGACCCGGTTAAATCTAGATCTTGGTTGGTTCCAGGTACTTGGATTGTCTTGGGCGGTTAACAACTTTTATAAAAAAAATAGGTTACTAGTGACTAGTGAGCAGCGTTATAAAGTCTCTCTGTGCTTTAGTATAGGGGTAAGACTGCGTACATCCGACTCCCCCTTACCCCACCGTAGGTGGGAGCCTTTGCGGCACTGGGGTAAATGAAAATGATGAAAATGATGAGTTACAACTTACAACTCTTGGGAAAAAAGCATTATCTGGGTTTTCAGCTCTTGGGACCTAATTGGTTTAGGGGTTTAATTGGCTGACCCTTCATAGGAGTAGGCTTGGACTGGTTCCGGGCCAACCGGCCCGTGGCTCGGCCCAGCCTGTGGCCCGGCCCGAACCGGCTCGGTACTGTTTGCACCCGGCCCAACCCGGTACTCGGTCATAGGACCGGTTCGGGTAGCCTGAACCGGTGGTTACTTGAGGCGGGCTCGGGCCTGCTAAAATAGGAACCGACCGGTCCTATTTTTTTTCAATTATTTTTTCCCGGGTTGGGCTCAGTGTTTGGGGGGGGGGGGGGGGGTTGGGGGGTGAGGGGGGGGTCGGGGTGAGGGGGGGTCGGGGGTTAATTAGAAATGCAAAAAGGAAAAAAAAATAACATTGAACCGGTCTGGGCCCGGCCCGGAACCGCTGGCTACCCGGGCCGGTTCCGGGCCTCACTTCCCCCAAAAAAGAGCCCGGTCAGGCCCGGCCCGGTACCCGGCCCGGCCCTAAGTAGGAGGACCTAATTGATTTTAGAAAAAAATGGGGGGCTTATTTGATAGTTTTCCCAAGGAATGATATATATCTTTCCATATATCACAACAAATAGTCACATGCCCTTGAAAATTTGCAAAAAAAAAATAATTAATTTTTCATTTTCCAAAGTGTATGAAAGTGTAGGAGTAGGAATGTAGGATTGTGGATTATGATTAATCATATACTATAATTAGTATATAATACTAATTGTATATTAGGGAAAATCACACTTTTGATCCCCCGATTAGACACCATATTGAATTGTCAGATCCATGTTCCTGAGAATCCCTGGGATCGTAGATGTCACCCCTAAATTGATAGATGTGTTGTAAACGTCACCCCCATCGTTTATAATTCATCTCCAATTCTAGATTGCTATCAATACATTTACCGAGGATGACATTTAGAACACATTTGCTAATTTCACGGTGATATTTACAATCTCATAAGCACAAAAATGGTGACTAATTGAGAGACCAAAAATGCGATTTTCTCTAGATATTATTTACTAAATCTAAATAATATACTCACTCCGCCCTGAAACTAAGTTTAGCATTTCCTTTTCGTGATGTCCCAAAATAAAGCTCTCACTTTAACTTCTTTCTATATTTAGTAAATTTTCATTATTCAGTTACTCTTTGACCCGCACATCACTTCATTGTTACCCTTTCACTATTCAATTACCTCTTTACTATACCCATTTGGGTACTACATCTTTTAATTACTCAGGGGCGTTTTCGAAAAGCCAACTTTATTTTCTATTCTACCTAAAAGCTTGTGAAGTCAAACTAGGAACTTAATTTGTGAACAGAGGGAGTATATAACTGTATAAATATAATTATAATATGAATATACTCCGTATCAAATATGAAAGTGTAGGAGCAAGAATGTAAGATTAGAGATTGAGAGTAAAGAGATTGAGTAAAAGTAAAATAGAATTGTAGGGGAAAAATGAAGAAATTGTTAGGTATTTATAGAATTTTTTAGGAACCTACACCAACTCCCCCCAATCCCCCCCCCCCCCCCCCCCCCCCACGGCGGCTATATCCACCCCACCCCCTTTAATTTTAACAAAATGAAGTAGCAGTTGAGATCGACCTGAACCGGGATCAGGACCGCCTGATCGGGTCTCCAAAATGCATACCTAGGACCGGGTCTGCCGGTTACCCGGTCTTGAACCGGGACTGAAATCACGATTCCGGACAGGGTCTACTCCTAGCGGTACACAAGTACTACTATAATAGAATCAAGGCTTTGAAGACGATGCTCTTGACGTGGCTCAAAATTTAGTATATGATGTACATGAAGAATTTGATTCTCGAGATATTCCAAACACACAAGATCAGGTCAAAGAAGCGACAATGTGATTTATATGAATGTTACTAGAAATATAATAGCGAATGAGATAAATCCTAAACTGCAATTAGCTTTTGTTTTTTGAAAATATACTTCAATATTCACATGCATAAATGCATTAACTGTTATTTTTGCTCAAATGCATAAATGCAGTTTACATTTGTGCGGACTTTATTTGATGCCTTGCTCTTGACGTATACTTTATTTTTGATGCCTTGCCAGATACATATATTTGATGCATATATGAATGAGGACGTGATAACATTTATCTTTGATGTTTAATTGTTCAAAGATTTTGACTTCAAATTATATATAAACGCATCCTACAAAATAATGTATCCGGATAATTGCAAAAACATAATTTTAAAATTTAAATTGTAATTCAATTATATTATTTATATATAATATGATTTGAATTATTTTAATTAGTGTTAGTTTTATTTAGATTCTTTTACTAAATAACCCAACATTATGAGCTTGTTTGGTAACACGAAATTCGGCAGATTCTGCTGGAACTTATGAAGTTCTGGACTGAAGTGGCTGCATTGACTAATTCTACTGATTTAAGAAAAAAAAACTAATATATACTTTATTAATAAAATAAAGAAAAAATTATATGTAAAAATAGCTAAAATGGCCATCTATAGACTATAGTAACTCCAGTCAATACAACCAGAAAAGTAACTTCAACCTTACTTTTTCTTATTGTTACACAATTCAGCCCACGAAAACAAAAGTTACTTGTTTGGTGAAAAAAATGGTTGATAAGCCTGATAAGCCGAAAAACAACGTCACCAAACGGCCTCTATAATGTTTAATTCGAGTTTAATATTATTTTCTGATACAAATCAGCACAATATGCCCTTCTGGTAAACAATTCTCTATTTCATAACAAAAGCACTACCAAACACACCTACTAGTTTATGATACAATAGTAAATTCTGCTTGTGCATTAAAAAATAACACAAAAGTAGAAAAATTTAGCACCCCTAGGTAATTTATGCAACAGTTTTAGATCTAATCTGAAAACCATGAAGTATCAAAAAGACCAATATCCAGGTACAGCAATTTACAACAGTTTTTCCCTTTTTGAGTTGTGTTCTATATACAGGATGAGGTACTTGATGGTTTTAGCTACTTGACTTGTGAAGGGATAACTCTTTATTAAAAATTCTAAATCTTCTTGCAAGAGTTTGGAAGAGGAGGAACAAAAATATCAACCTCTAATGAGAGTCAAGCCAATAGCTGTTACAATAAGAGTAGAGGGAACACCAAATTTGAGATGGCTCCAGAATGACAAATTGTACCCCAGATATTGAGCCCTACGAGCCTGCTCGCACACTATCAAGTTTGCAGCAGACCCTAAGAGCGAAAGATTCCCGCCCACTGTGCTCACCCAAGCCAAGATGAGCCAAGCCTTCTTCTCGCTTGCTGGAGATATTTCGGCTGCTGAAGCTGCCACCCTCGCCCCTAACAGCAAAACTGTCACCAACCAAAAACAACTTCAATTGCCTGAGAGGGGACTACTAATGATGTAACAAATAATGCTATGGTCACACATAAACCTGTGGGTACATTTGAAGCTAAATTGGAGAGTAAGAGTATGACAGCACCAAGAATGGCTATTCCGCTGACGTGATCTATTTTGGCGTACGGCTCCATGAAATCCCAGACAGCACTTGGAAGCCCCGTTCTGTTAAAGCCGTCGATTGTGATGAACATCCCACAAAAGAATATCAACAATGAATATGATATCTGTGGAATGGGAAAGGGAAATACATTGTTTTAGTTTAAAAAATAAATCATCGGGTAAATTACATATATCTCCACCAATATTTGATCAAACTATCAGATTCTGGTTTCTAAATTATTACTAACAACTACAGAACTACTTGACCTGTTGAAATTTTCGTGAATGACACTAAAATTTCAACCCATAGTATATTTGGAAACATTTGTGGTTCTAACCTATTAATGCTTCACAAATTAAATATTGACCACGTAATTTCACTTCTCAAAATATGATTGCCACTTCCTCCCGTTGATAGTATGACAGAGGTAGTATGTGATATTATCACATTCGTAGGAATTAAGTTTTCCGGACTAAAATACAATGAATATTCATTACAAACAGATACATATATGGTATTTGATTTAATGACATTAGTAGGAATTGAGTTTTTCAAACAAAAATGCCCTCAGTGTCTGTCCTGATATGGTTTTTTACAGAAAGCTTTATATATTTAGACAAAAATGTGTTAAAACACCAAACTGAATCTAACAGCACATGTTTCTTGTTAATATCATTATATTCTAAAATCTATCAATGTTAATAGGCCGTTTGTAAAAAATATGACAGGTAAGGGTGCAGCTTATATGTAGTTTTCAGAAGTCAAAACCTCCAGTAACATTTAGTAATTGGACCAAACCTGAAGCTAAGTATAGGTAACCAACCCTTGATCTGCACCTAGGCTCTAGTCCATCAATTGCCACCTATGTTCTTTTTCACTCTTAAGCCTTCCCTAATTCCCCTCAGATTCTGTCAGAATCACATCATAATCCCTCATGTCGAGCATGATCAAATCTACAAATAACTCTCTCCCTGCTATATTCATTGGCAATGCTTGTAACCAATGAGTCGACAACATGATCTCTCCCGACGGAAGTGCTGTGGTGAACTTATAATCTAACTTATCTTGAGGTGCTGCTAAGGATCTAGCAAACTCAAGAGATACAAAAGAATGTGTGGCTCCAGTGTCAAATAACTCTAATTTGGAGTAATCCGTGTCGAGGACCTACTACACTAGGCCTCAATTTGTTCTCCACCTAGTGCTATTTAATATTGAGATGAATAAAAAAAGTATATAGAAAACTTGACTTGACCATAAATTATACATGTCGAATTTGGGTCATTATATTATTAGTAAACATAGCAAAGTTGATCATGGGAACATAAGATTGATGAGGGGGGAGGCAAATATATACCTTTTCCAAGCATGGGCGTGCATCCTTGAAATCAAGAACCACAAGAACAAGTGCTGCAGTAATTGCAGACCAAGACATGTTCATACCCATCAATAAAGAGATTAGCATTCCAATAGTAACAAGATAAACACACACTTTCCACACCGCCCTTCTCCACACTTCCAGAAACTTCCCCTTCTCCTCTTGAAAAGGAAGGTTCTCGGTTTCACTTAGATGATTTGATGAGGGTGACTTTGATGCTTCACGTGATGACGCATTTGAGCTTCGGGTAGAGTCAATCTTATCAATCTCATTCTCACTCACACTGACACGGTTCCTAAGTGCATCGGAATGGTTCAAGTGGTCATTGACATTTGGATGTGACATAGTAGCAGGGGAGAAGTGGTGAGAGACTACTTCTTCTTCTGTCACAACTTCTCCACCAGAAGCGTCTTCTTCGTCTTTCTTTACTGACAATAATTTCCAATACATGCACAACAATAGAAATGCATTGACAGATATACCCACTAGCATTGCAGGAAAACTTCCCAGAAAAAACTCGCTGAAAGATATCTTGCTCTTCATTGCTATTACTAAGTTTTGGGGATTCCCTATTGGAGTAACCGAAGACCCAATGTTTGCACTAGAAGCAAGAGCTAGTAGGAAGGGGTGGGGTGGGAGGTTTTGTTGCCTGGCGATTTTCAGCACAAACTCTGTCAAAACCACACAAGATGTGTCGTTCGTGAATAGAGCACTGGAAAAGGCTGAGATGAAACAGACTCTCAACAGCAAATCCTTAGCCCCTTTGCTTTTCCATGCCAGCAATTTCCCGAGATACTTAAACATATCTGCCTTTTCAAGATACACACTGACTACCATTGTCCCAAAGAGAAGACCAAGAATGGGAAGATCTATGGCAGCATATGCTTGATCAGGTGTCAAGACTTGGAAAAGAACCATGAGCATAGCCCCGAGTAAGGACCCAGCGGTCCTTCCTATGGGCATAAATGGAACCGCAGGGAAAACTGCTAACACCCAAAAGATAGCAAAGGCAATCAAGCCAAGAACCACTTTTACAGTTGGAGCCATCGCCATTTCTCCTTTCCTTTTATTTAGCTGTCCAACAACAGTATTAACTTTCAAATTCCATTTTTTGCGCAGGACAGATTTTATCCAATGACATCTGTAAAAGATTGAAGCTTTATTTAACGAACCTTCATGAAACACTAGAGTTACTCCTCTAAGGGTATAAAATGATGAAACCGCAAGTCTAATATGATATCAGCCTTTATTGAGCTTACATGGTCTTATCACTAGTAGGACATTCCTACTTTTGATTCCTAACTTTTATTTTTCCACTACTGGTCCTACAAGGCTACAACTATGGATGTCACTCTTTACCCTTCCTGCCACCTTTTTGTGGAAATCAGCCAAAAATTGCCTTTTCGCAAAAATCAGCCAAAAAATACACATAATTGGCATACCAAGAGTGATAATAATCTAGTCTTTATAGTTGTGGGACAAAAGGTGGAATTACTTTCTTTTAACACACATACTTCAAGATCTCTACCATCTTAATAAGATATAAGTCTACATAACTGGTCCATGACAAACAAACACATTTGTATTTACTATCCAAACTTCAGAGTTCAGACACCATTTGCATCTATCCAAACCTTTAATTTCATCCTGTTCAGCTACCAAAGAGCAACATACATACACCTCAGACACACACATCTCAGTAGCTCCTTATGTACCAAAATATCAAAGCAGGTCCTTCTATTTGACTGTCATAAAAATCGAAATTCACAGATAAGGAGGCTAAAAGGAGGGGGGAAGGGATACAAATAATTAAACTCACCTGATCCTGTGAAGCTTCTTTTTTTCACATTGAAACCGAGAGAAACAAATTCAATAAGCCCTTGAAGTTTTGCATTTGACCTTAACAGTTTTGCTCAATTGAGGTTTTTTAATTAATTCATTTAATAATATAAATTGACTACTTTCTCTATATTCAAACATTCTTTACGGAATATAAAATGGAAGGCGGCAGGATGGCAATTGGACTACCACTGCTCGCTGATGGGGATGTTCGACTCTCCACCGCAGGAGACTACGCATAATCCAAAAACAAAATTGGACAACAATGTTGTCAACTGTACTGACGAATTATGGGTCCCACATGTAGGCATGGAACCGAGCTGGTCCGGGTCTGGTCCAATCTCCCAACCTGGCCGGTCTCGGTTCTAAATAATTGAAGCCTGGTACCGACCTGGTTTGGTCCGGTACCGGTTTCGGTACAGGTCTAAGGAGTATCGGCCTCAGGTCGGGCTCGAGTCGGTATCCGCCCGTTATTTTTTTTTTCCAAAAAGTAGTGGTTGGGACCGGCCGGCCAGGTCTCAAAAATTTAAGCCCGAAGCCTGACCCTATTCTACCACGATCCGGGTACCAGGCCGATACTGGTACCATAAAACCGGTCCCCGTCCGATACGAACAGTACCGGTCCCGGGTCGGTCCCAAGCCGAGCCGGCCGGACCCAGTCCATCCTTACCCGGATGGCAATTCTGATCAATCCTACAGATATCTGCATCGAATAGTTCCCGCTAACACGGGGAAAATCGCATTTGCCAGGTAACAGATATAGGTAAGGAGCGGGGAATAATTGTTTTGTTTTTATGGGTAACGGGACGATTACAATTTATACATGTCCGCCTCATTACTCGCCACGTGCCTATGTTTAATAACCGGATCGAGAAGCAACCCGGCCGTGTGACCGGGTCACGGGTCAACCCATACGTGGTTGGGTCAACCCGGTCAACACTATAAAACCGGTCAACCATAAGATAATAAACATATAATTGTATATAAAAATAATATAATAGGTAGTTATTTCATAATAATGCCTAGATAATACTTATTATACATTTAAAAGTTAAAGCAATCTCATAATGCCTCCCTCATACACCTATCTTTAATAAATACTACGTACATTTTTTATCTTTTAGTTCCATATTTAACGCAGGGGTGAGAACCAAAATGTTGGAATATTTCCAATTAATATGGCCTAAGGACCAATATTAATATGTGTTCTATATTTATGTATGATATATAATTATGTATTATATATACTATATGTATTATTTGATAGAAATAATACTTAAGGGGTACCATTGTGGTAACACCCTTTAGGACATTGTTCCAAAAAGGTGGAATCTCCCACCCCAGGAGTCCCCCACCCCGATCCGACAGGATGGTCGGGAGGTTAGTCACGGTGACTCAGTCACCAGAATGGCAGTAGGCACATACACCCGTGCGCACCAGAGGCTCAGTCTTATTTCAGGTTCTGTGACCTCCACCCGATCGCTGCGGGGATTCGAACCTTGGTCCATTGTTCCAAACCTCCCACCACTCGACCAATTGAGCTACCCATGCGGGTACACCCTTTAGGACAAATATGAAGAGTTGTGACTATTGGCTTATTTCCATTATAAATACTCTTTGTTCTCCCTTGTTGAAACTCACGTACAAACACAACAACACCATCAAGTGGAGAGAGCATCACAACTCCTAAAAAGTACTCCATCTATTATTGTCATTAAAGGGATTACATATCCAACTTCTTAAAGCAATGGTATCATCTTCCTCAAATCTCTCCAAAATGAACATCGGATACTCTCCAAGTAAATCCCTATAAATTTACAACTATGATTAATTGTGTGATGTTATTTGATCTTGGTTATATATGATGATTATTTTTCATCATTTGGCATCAGAGCCTTTTCATAACATCACCATAATTTTATGCGATCACAGTTTTATGCAATTCATGCCTTTTCGGATATCCAGGTATTGTCAATCCAAACATTCATCAATTCACTCGAAAGTATTACCGATCAATTTGAAAGATTTCTTGGAAATGAAAAGCAGGAGAAATCATCTATCATTCATTGAAGAAGAAGATACAGTACATCGTTCCTTTTATACAAAGACTAAAGTAGTAACTAAGTAACAAACTCTAACTAACTAATTAAAACAAAATGAAAATACATTTTTACTAATTTGACTGTACTATCCTAATACCCCCTCTCAAGATGGACTGTAAATATTCACAAGTCCAAGCTTGGATAGATTCTCTTGAAAGGTAGCAGGATATAATGTTTTTGTAAACAAATCAGCTAGTTGAGACTTAGATGGAACATGAGATAGCAGTATCAGTCCTTATTGAATCTTGGCACGTATGAGATGACAATCAACCTCTATGTGTTTTGTTCTTTCGTGAAAAGAGGGATTCTTAGCAAGTTGAATAGCAGATTGATTGTCTGAAAATTTGCAGTAAGGAGTAGAGATTGCCAAGTTCAGATCATCTTAAAGATATTTAATCCACTGCAGTTCACAAAGAACAACATCATCAACATAAACCAATAAGGCAGTAAAGAATGAATCAGATTTCTTAATGAACAAAGAATAATCTGAAGTACTCTGAGTATATCCAAGCTGAATGAGGGAAGAAGTAAGCTTCTGATTCCATTGTCTACTAGCCTTTTTTAAGCCATAAATAGACTTCTGTAGTTTACAAACTAAACCTGATTTGGAAGGTAGAAAACCAGGAGGTGGCTTCATATATACCTCCTCATTGAGGTCACCATGTAGAAAAGCATTATCTACATCTAGTTGTTGAAGATGCCAATTCTTGGATACAACAATAAATAGAAGAAATCTGACTGTAGTAATCTTGGCCACTAGTGAGAAAGTTTCAAAAAAATCAACCCCTTCTGTTTGTGTGTATCCTTGGGCCACCAATCTAGCTTTATATCTCTCTATACTACCATCTGCCTTGTGTTTGACTTTATAAACCCATCTACTACCTACAACAGGTTTTCCTAGAGGTGGTGAAACCAATGACCAGGTCTGATTTGCTTCTAAGGCCTCAATTTCTGTTATCATAGCCTTTTTCCAACAATCCAATTTCATAGCTTCTTTGAAAGACTTGGGTTCAGAAAGAGCAGAAATGGATAAACAGAAGGAAGTACGTGTGGAAGAACAATTAGAATAAGAAAGATATGAATGCAAGGGATAGGGTGATGATGTGGAAATGTTGCCACAGTAATAGTCGGACAAATATTAAGGTGGTTTAATATTTCTTGTTGAGGTCCTTTTGGGAATTTCAGTGTCTGACGTGTTTTGATCAGATGATCCAGTTTCATGAGTAGTGGAAGAGGATGGTTGATTGACAGAAGTAAAGTATTGATGAAAATCCAGACTTTGATTAGACTAGTCAGTGTGAATTAAGGAATCAAAGTTTGAATAAGAAACTGGAGACTGAGGATAATCATCAATGTGACTTTGGTCTAGAGCAAAAGGAAAAGTTGTTTCATAGAAAACAACATTTCTAGACACAAGAATAGAATGAGAGTAAAGATTGAAAAGCAAGAAACCTTTGGTTCCAGCTTTGTATCCAAGAAAAATACATTTGGAAGCTCTTTTATCAAACTTAGTTCTGCCAGCATTTAGAGTATTAGCAAATGCCAAACAACCAAAGGTTCTCAGATTAGAAAAATCTGGTAAATTCCCAAACACCATTTCATACGGAGGTTTATCATGTAAGAAGGGTGTTGGTAATCTATTAATGATGTAAACAGAGTGTCTTATGGCATGAGACCAGAAATGTAAGGGAAGTTTGGATTGGAAAAGAAGACCTCTCGCGATGTTTAAGATGTGTTGGTGTTTTCTTTCAACAATGCCATTTTGCTGAGGAGTTTCCGGACAAGAAGTTTCATGAAAAATTCCATGTTGCTGAAAGAAATCTTTGAGAAGGAATTCTTTACCATTGTCAGATCTTAGCTTCTTAAGTTTGGTTGAGAATTGATTTTGGATAAGAAGAATGAAACTGGGAAGAACTGTTTGAATTTCAGATTTAGTTTTGCGTAAATAAACCCAAGTAAATCTGCTAAAATCATCCACAACAGTTAAAAAGAATCTATATCCTTCAAAAGAAGGGATATGTTAATCCCAGAATTCTAACAATCATACAACCTAGCAATGATAAAGAAGCAGATAGAAAGAAATCGACAAGATTGAACGCGAATCTGATATACCGTATGAATCTGCCGCTACTCTCCCTGGAGAAGGAGAGCAACGGCAACCCTAATTTCTCTCTATCTCGCCTCTGCGTCTCTTAGCCTCTCACGATTGTTTTGGTTCCCGTAAGTTAGCCTCCTTTTATAGGAGAAGTTGGCTAACTTACGGGTTACAAGGAAGCCCACGGGCTGATACACATTTGTGGCCCGTATTAAACGATTAATTAATAACTACACAAATACAAAGATAACTAACTAGATTGAACACCATAAAATATTCCCAACAATCTCCCCCTTGGTGATCAATCGTGTTGAATCAGCATTGCAGCTCATATATCTTTGTCTTTGTTGTTATTGAGCTTCCTTTGTCTTTGAACTTGACTTCTGAGGAAGGCTATCTGAAGAAATCCTTGCAATCTCCCCTTTGATGTCTTCTTGACAATTTGATCTTTGATGCCGGGGGTTGAGGGACCTTCAGTATCTTGCATGTAGTCCTTGCCTTCCAGAAGTTGCTCTTGATCAGCTTGGATGAAGTCCGGTGACGCCTCTAGAATGAATATTCTTTGGAGAAACAGGAGACGCCCATGGAATTCATCTTCAGGACACGAGTATTTGACCTCTGTCTCCTCCACAATGTAGTCTTTTTTTTGACTATTTGGAATGAATGCTTTAGAGGAGAACTTGTCGGTGACACAGCGGAACATAATGATGGTTGATTTGTGAGTGTAGCTGACCATTTGATTTGAGTTGCGGAGATAGTAGAGAGGGTGTTGAATTTTGTGATGGAGGAGTGAAGTGTCCCAGAATGATTTGTTCAGTGTTAACAGCATGTGGACCACTCTCCCCCTCATGACGATCCGATGAATCGGGACGTCATGCTTTTATTCTTTTATTCTGCGGAAATAAAAACATGAAAAACAAGCAGAATCTAAAAAAGATAACGTAGCCCCCCAGGGTCGTGAAGACGCCCGTTATCATCACTATAGAGATAAACTCTAAAGCAATGGCCTGAAAATGTTGGTGATTCTTATGTTGCAACAGCAGGACTTCCTTCCAATTATTGGTCTACATCTGTAATAGATGAGCCCTATGGAAGTTCTCGCAAGTCTTGAAGACTAGCAACTGACTCT